CACAATATGATGCCAAATATAAACAAGGTCTTTGTACGGCTCTGTATATCAATGCCGACCTACATGCTGAAAAGTAAGTGAAGAGTAGAAAATATAAAAGGTATATTGGCTATAGGGAATTGTCCCAGCAGTTAGACAATGAAGGTTCTATTACAGGGGGTGGCCAACCAGTCAGAGGTTAAGAGCCTACATTTGTTCTATGTTACTGCAAAGAGCCACATCAAACACACAGTCACTGATACCGGTTGTTTCAGTTTTTTGTTTTCTGGAGACAAGATTTCAACCACGTCACTGATGCATTTTTGTGGCATTGGGATATATATTTTTTAAATCCTCTGAAGCAGAGAGGAGCTGTGGACTATTGTTATTGATTAATGCATCAGTGTTTCTTAGGGTCACAAACACTAAACTCACAACTTAAAATGAGAGCGTTTAGTTTATTTAATAAAAGAGCACATGTTCAATGTGAAAAGTGCCATACGTCACCAATAATGTATAAAATATGTGGAACATGTTGAAGTCTCCATCAGACAGAAGAGATTAGGCTGAGACAGTGTGTGTGTGTGTGTGTGTGTGTGTGTGTGTCCAGAGTTTAAAGGTTACCATGGTGACGACGTTATCAAACACCTGTGTGCAGAGATCAAAGGTTACCATGGAGATGTGCATTGAAAGGAGAGCCTTTCCATTTATCTGAATGAGAGATAAACTTCTTACATTTCTAACTATAGTTTAAAAGCGCGTGCAGCATGTCAGGACCCTGACGAGCGTCTGAGTCTGCTGTTTGTGTACTTTCGGGTGAATAATGTGGCATTTTTGGCAGATTTACTAAAGATGTGCAGCTGCTGCTCTGACGAAAGATCAGGCTGAATTTACAATGGGCCTTAAAGGAGACATAATTTATTTGCTTAATTTTTTTTTAATTGCACAGCATTCGCACTAATTACCCAGTTCATGAATGATGTCCTGAATGAATATGCAATAACAATGCATGTCTTTTTTTAGGTTATAATAAACAACCAAATTAAGAGTATGTCTTTTATGATTTGATGCTTCTGATGAAACATCTGACTAGTGGCTTCCTTTCCTATTTTTTTAATCTTGATTCTTCATTGTGAACCTTAGGAGATGGACAAAACTATTATTAATAAATGATAATGAGTTTACATAGGACTTCTTATATCTTCTGACAACTAATGCATCCTTGCATGGCTAACACTGGTATTTTTTACATTTGTTCTACAGGAAGCAAATACCAAAACAGAAAGAGGAAACTTGTGAAGGCACTGTTTTAAGCAGCTTTAAAGGAGAAGTCACAAATCTTTCTGCTTGCTTGTCTCATGAGGTCAGACAATCTGTCTGTATGCATTAATTCATCAAGGCTTTATATTCTCAGAGACCAACCCTGGAAATTAAAGCATTAATGAATGACCTAGGGCAATTTCTACCCTTCGCTTAATTGCAGTCATGCCTCTGGTTCCTCCGCAGAACAAATCCAGCTCTTGTCAGGCAGTCAGAGGCAGTAATCACTTCAAAGATGGATGGATAGATGAATAGAACAAAATAATATCTGCCCCTGAGGTGAAGTTTGTTATCAGTGAACTGTACACAACTAAATACATTAACACGTATATATGCAGTCAGTGTAGTCATGCATTTATTGCTGCAATGGCTTCTAGTTAAATGTCCTTAAATAAATATGAAATTGAAATTGATGGCCACGGTCATGTGATGCATGTGATGGATCTGGTTGAGGTTTGGAGGGGCAATCATTTTGGAAGCAGTGAGTGTGGTGTCTTCATCCAATATGCAACTTTACACAAGTATGATTTAGAAAACAGACCTACATTATTATAGATTTTTCAATTGGGTAGAAGAAGTCAATGTAATAGTTCTTAAATATTTGAATCACTTGTTTTGGGACTACATAAAACATTTTACCATTGTCAATCTAAATATTTTGTTGCTTTGTGTTGCAGATCTTCCACAGGAGCATGATCCCCAGGCCAGTCTCGATCATGAACAGTTCCACGACCGACTGACAAATCCCACAGACACTCCATCTACAAATCACTCTATATGTCCTGCACTGTGCACAACTAAATGCATGCCTGTACACACATGTAAGTAATGCGGACCAGCACTTTTTTCTTTTTTAAGTAACCGCAATGCCTCTTTTTAGTTACAAATATATTCATCATTTTGTTGCTTGTCAATTTAGGTCAGAGTCATCATGCCTACGATGAAAGCTGGGAGGAGATCCAAAGCAAGAGAACCATCAGAGCGGAAAACGAAGTAGAAGCAAACAAACTAGTCAACAACTATAGGGTAAGACGTCTATAGGCAACTGTCTTTTCTACGCAAATCAAAGTAGTTTGAGTGCAGCACAACTGACAGGACAATCCATAACACAAACTCAGTATTTGGTGTGTGTGTGTGTCAGTTTGGTTTCAGAAAGTGGAAGAGCCACGTGACGGAGCGTCCATTTGAAGTCAGGTCAGAGGTTGTGAAAGAGCTCTACTCTGAACTGAACGTCATCAAACCATATTCAGGTAGGGGTATTGTGCTCACTGTGTATATATGCAAAGATGATTCAGGTTTATCACAACTTAGGAAATGATTGATAAGACAATTACATGTGTTGTAAACAAGCCAACAGTTTAGCTATGTGACTTACAAAACCAAAAGCCTAATGCTGTTGCAGTGCTGCATAGAAAGCAGTCCTAAACTCACAAAAAAGCCATATTGATAAGCAGCAAGTAAAGATTATGTTCATCAGAAAACTCCTGGGTGTTTAGGCTGTTTACCCAGAGGACACCAAAAGGAAAAACCAAGATACATTTTTTTCAACAAAATTAGGTAAGTGCTGTAAAGTTTTACACTTTTCTCACAGGAGTTATGTAGTGTAAGAACAGGCGTTATGAGATGACACTGTCTCAGCCAGATCTCCAGATCTCAGCATCTAACACAACCAATACAATATTGTAATTATTACTGAGAGAACATGCATTAAAAACCACAGAAATAAGATCTAAGCGAGTACTTTCATTGATTGATTTTGTTTGTCTTGGTGTTAGGTCATCTCATCACTTGTGGTAACGTAGCATATGTGCTTCTCTTCGGTTGGTGGATCTCTCTGGCCTATTTCCTGATTGGCCTCTTTATGTTCATCACTATCACTGGTGTACCCTATGGTATGTGGGCCATTCAACATGGATACATTTATTGTTTATTATGCACACAGTACATGCATCTTTTCTCTCACTCTTAAGGCAAGCTTTGCTTGAAGTTGTCCTGCTACTTCCTGTGGCCCTTCGGCAAGTCAATCCATGAGGTACAGTTTGGGTTCAGTTTATGTTTGAGATGTTCCGCTGTTTTCTCTTTATCAAGCATTAATGTCAAACATCTATATCCTCACATTTTAAGATATTAAAGCGCTGTAAATGGGATTTATTTGGCCTGTTGATCAGATAAAACAATGTAGCGTCCAAAATCATATAGAATTAAACAGATAATTAACTCAAAATAACACTGCCGCTGAACTACTAGTTAGCGGATCTTACGCAGGGCAATGATCATCCACGTCAAGACAAGAATCTCCATTTGTGCATGTATTATATGATCCAATATCATTAACATAGCACAATGAGCAGGTTTCCTATCTTTCTTTCCTTTAGTCTTTCCTATGGCTTCCTTTCTTGTGGCTTAAAAAAACATGTGCCTACTAGTGCTCTACTCCCACCACCTGTCTCCAATATATACAATTACACCAGGTGCTCTAATCACCCAGTGCCCAAACATGCCTTCAAAATAAAAGCATAGAAACTACTTTAATAACTAAGAATACATTTACTATAAACAATCACAGCAAGAAAACAAATGTTTAAGTATTAAATAATATAAAGCGATATATATCTCCAACACACAGAATCTGAAGACTCCACCTAGGCTTTAGAAAAGGTTAACTTCTTTCTGACACAACGGATTTATTACTTGAAATAAAATCAGTCATCCAGTAAGGATCAATCACCATATTTAATGTTACTAATGCAAAGTTAGTGCTCTAACGAACACAAAATACAACTTTATTTGTGTTCATCCAGATTGGAAAAACATTGAGGATATGTTGTGAGCAAGCGCCAGACTGTGAGTGTGACTTGGAGCGGACGGAAGATGACTCCCCAGTCCTGCTGCCGTCCCCCACAGACGGGCCGGTCCCAGAGCTGCCAGGACGACCTCTCCACACTCCCTACTGGGTAACTTCAAATTCACATAGAAACAGCACATGAACACGGTGCTAATCTTTTACACCACCTGACAATTACAGGTTGAATTGGGCATGGACTTTTATGAATTGATTGGATAAGACAAAATAATAAATTCTCTATTGCATACATTTCTTGTTTTTTTTAGTTAAGTTTCTATATTTTCAATAAATCTTTTACAGCCCTGCACCATTTTACAAAAATACAAAAATTCCCTTTACACACAGCACTGTCAAAGCTTTATCTTTTTAACTGCAGAGTTTACATTACATTTAATGTTGTCTTGATGTCTGGGTAAACAGTGATCCTTTAGATTGAAAAGGCTTGTAAATATAGTCAACTTTGATCAAATAAAATGTTATTTACCAACATCAATACTGTAGCTTTTGAAAATGCAGAGTGGCTAGTAATTTTGGGAATCTACTAGCCACAGCGTCTGGATAGCAACAAGGTCATTTCAGGCCCTGTTTATGAATGACTCATTTCTCGCACATCAGTTGAAGGATATTTGTTTCCCTTGTTGTGTAGCATCGCTTCTCCACCTATGTGTGGCTGCTGCTGGGATATCCTCCTCTAGTTGTAATCCACTCCCTGGCCTGCTTCATCTCCTGGATCCTGGTCTTCACCATCCCTGTTAGCAAGATGAACGCACGGACACTGGGCGTCATCCTTCTCCTGGCTCCTGAGGACGTCTCTGTCACCTCCTCCACACAGAGGAAGGCAAGGCAAATATGTAATATTTATCACCCACAGCACATCAACCTGGAGATGTTAGCAGTGTTGGTTGAATGCACTTTTTATTTTGCTTGATCCTTAGCATCAAATCTATGAGACCAGAGCACTGCTGTGCTGCTACCAGGCGACAAACTGGTACTACTACAAGTACACTGTTGATGGGATCAATGTGTTCGCTGTCAGTATCCTTTACTGGTGTGAAATATGTGTCAGTATCTTAGTACTATTGAATTACTTTTTCAATTACAATTGTTTTCATTATGAAGAAAAAGATTATAGGGATTAAACAATTATTGTACCGCTGTTTAGCAATAGTGCTTTGGTTTTTCTTGCGTTATATTTCCTGTGCCCTTCCTTTAAAGCCGGGGGCTTCTGCCTGTACTTGCTGAGACACTGACTGGAGTATGTTGAATATAGCTGACCGAAATGCTGAATTTATGTAGTTATGTAATTTATGTGAATTTATGTTGTGGCAGTGCAATGTGACATAATTTTGATCTAATTTATTTTGGTCAAATATACTAATAAATATAGATTATTTTAGATATTAAAATATTAAACATTAGAAGTTGTCTGTATGTTTTTTATTATTATTTTTATATTATGTATTTAAATATATATATATTATGTTTTTAGGGAGTTTTTTTACTTGAAAAATTGGTTTTTCAGTTGAATAAACGTTAAAGTTCAAGAAAAACCATGATTTAAATTAAAACAGTTTTCTTTTTAAAACACAGGATTTTTCAGAGAATAATTCTACCCTCAATGTTGACCAAAAATAATCGTTATTCTTATTTTTTTAGTATGCCACAATAGAGCATTCCTAGTTTCATAAGAAAACCTGTTAACACCTTTAACCGCCTTCTCAGACCTCCTGCCTCTGGTAATAGTTGCCATTGTGATTGGATATATTGACAGAGAAAACAAGTATGCCAGCTCTGACGTCAAGTTTGCCATAGCAATCTGCTCCATCATACCTCTGTCTTATTATATCGGTATGGGCATTGCCAGGTGAGCTGGTTTCATCACTTTGAAACACACAAAGAGATTTTCCCTAAATAGCACCTTCTGATGTAAATTCTTTATTATTTTTGACAGTATCTCAGCTCAGAGTAACTTTGCAGTGGGTGCGGTAGTGAACGCCACCTTCGGCTCCATCACAGAGTTGACCTTCTACATCACAGCCTTGCTCAGAGGTCACCGGGCAGCCAACCCGTGTCTGCAGGAGGTCGTCAAAGCGGCGCTGACTGGCACTTTGCTTGGCTGCATCCTCTTCATCCCTGTGAGCCTTCCTGCATTTACATCACATTTTGCAGCTTTTACTCAAGAAAAACATAAAGATTTCAAATGAGCGCCAGTTTAAGAATGTAAACGGAGAGCTTACCAACAAACCTTTGCCTTTTTTAAAAGACCTTTGCCTCACCAACAGTAAAACGTTTATTTCTTTTAATACTGTATCATTTCAGCAATCAGTGAAATCAAAATGGAGACAAGAGTCCCTTTCATATCACACCACCAATACAGCACGTGTAGTATGAATTTAGGCCCTCATTTTGTTTTTCTCTCTCAGGGCGTCTGCATGATAATCGGAGGACTGAAACACAGTGAGCAAAGATTCAACAGTCGCTCTACAGGAGTGAGCGCTGCGTTGCTTTTCATCTCTGTAGGAGGCAAGTATTTACACACACTGTATCCTGTACCTTTAGGCTGTAACCGTTTTGAAAGTGTAGACAATTTTCTCTTTTCTTGCTGTGTTTTTACATGCAAACCACTTTATGGAACTGGCCTCCCTTACCTAACAAAATGATTTGTACACATTTAGTAAGCTGGAGAAGCTGTTGGCTCTTACTCTACATTGCCAGCAGAAAACCCTTTTCATTGTATATGTTTTACATTTAACACTTGCAGAGCCTGTTTGCTGGAATAAATGCTACAGTATACACATTTTTACATAATTTCTTCACATACTTCTGCAGTGGATATGAATTGATCAAACAAAAACTATGTAAATTGTGGCTGTAAAACACCAAATGTTAGCTTTTGAAGGGTTAATAAATTAGCACATGTTTTCCTTAATACCATACCCATAAACCAGACTTAACATGAACAATTGTAGAAAGTTGCATATTCTGATTTATTCAATAGATAAAGTAGAGATCAGGAGGTTATTTCAGTAATGACAAGTTCATACAACAGTCAAAAATTCAGCTACACATTACACCAAATGTGGCAGCAACAGAACCAGCTACATAGTTTGTTACACCCTGTTTCTGTCTGTTAAAATTGAAATGAAATGCAATATAAAAGCTTTACCAATGTCACACACCGTCTGTCCATGGCAGGTGTGTTTGCCCCCACGCTGTTCTCCAAGGCTTATGGAAGTCTGGTGTGCGACTCCTGCACCAACTCCTCTGGAGGAAACAGCAGCGGGGCGTTTGTCTGTCACAACTGCCACTACGACCTGGTCAGCATTAGAAGTCTCATTCTCACCAGCGCATCCTAACAAAACATATATGACTTACTTCCACTGTATAATGTGCTTTTAATTTTTTTCCAACAGAACAATGGTACACTGTTCCGCAACCATGTGGAGTAAGATATATTTTTTAAGTCTTGTTTCATAACATCTCTTCTTGTTGGTGCATTTAAAACCCTGACACCATTAACATTTCCACAATGTCCGTGTTTGCTTGTTTTTTGCCACACATTCTCTAGACCCTCCAGAAAAACGCGGGCAAAAATCCTTGATTATGCGATTAAATTTGCGGGGTTTTTGCGATTTTATGCGGTGAAATTGCGGGAAGTTGCGGGAAATATGCGGGAAAGTTGCGAAAAGATATTATCGATTTTTTTTAAAATATTGGGCTGTCTTATTTATTCTCTCTCACACACAACCTGCCACTAACGTTAAACCCCTTTACTATTCAATTAAAAACATTCTATGTTTATTTATTGTAAAATCAATTGGGCTATTTTAATCTCTCTCTCACACCACACACACACACACACACACACACACACACACACACTTCTCCGCCTCATTCTGTTTTCATTTACTCGTTCGTTATCTGACCAGCTTCAATCTTGTAGGCTACTCACTTCGTTTCTTGTAGCCCTCGAAAGGGTTTTGGAGGTTGATGCCTCGTGAACGTGAGTTG